ATAGCCTTTGTAGTTATTGTATCAGAAGCCAGGGGCTGGAGAGACAGCTCAGTGGTTAAGAGCACTGGCTGCTTTTGCAGAGGACGGTTCAAATCCCAGCACCCACATGGCAGCTAACAACTGTTCGTAACTCCAGTCCCAGGGGATCCAACAGCCTCCTCTGACTTCCATGGGCATTGCACGACACGGGTGCACTTACCTACATGCAGGCATACGCGCGTACGCATAAAGAAAAAGACAAAAAAACCTGAAACAATAAAAATGTTAAGAACCTACAGCAATGGCGTCAGCACGCACAAGCTCCACGCAAACTCAGACAGACAAAATCCCAGCACAGAACTGTGGACATGGGCAGCAGGACCCAATCTTAGTCGAAAAGCTATTGGCAGCTGGTTACTGCTGGGTGAGGAAGAGCTGCTCCTCTTAAAGGGAGGGACTCTAGATAGGCTGACTAGACCTCAGAGGATGAACTTGCACTGAGGGACAGTAACTTGACTCGATAGGCCTTAACATAAATGACAGAATGTGTGGAGTCCAGTGGGCGGTGCTATGTATGGGAGGGTGTGGATGGGAAATGGGGTATAAAATGATTAAGATGTTCTGTATGAAATACAAAAAAATTTCAATAAAAAATTTATAAAACAAAATGTTAAGAAAAAAAGCACCAGGAATCAAACACGTCCCCACCCTTCCTGCCTCCACCTGCTCTTAGGCCCCATCGTCAGCATCATTAAATCCTGAGTGGGTCCCAGGTGTCCACCTTTGCCCTGAACCAGTCTCTAGCAGCCAGCTGTGAAAACACGAGGTGGTGATACCCTTGTGTGTTCAAACGCCTGCAGAGGATCCAGGCTTCACGCACAGGCAGAGTCCAGGTCTTCACTGTGGCTTCAGAGACTCCTCAACCCCACCACTGTCCCACCTCCTACACTCCCCTTTAACTCCAGCCACAGTGACTTCCAGTCTGTTCTTCAACCCCATCCTTGGGCACGTCTTACCCCAGGGGCATCCTTTCCTCCAGAAGATGTTTTTCCATGTCTTCCTATCAGGGCTCTGAGGACGGTGCTTTGGGAGGAAGATGGATAAATTTGGCAGGGACTCAAAACAGGATAATTCAGAGACTTACTGCTGATGACTTAGCATAGACCCCTCTCGCACTGCATTTTCAAGAGGAATTGCCAGGTGTGCACTCCATGGGGGAAAATGAACCTAAAGTGGGATCCACAAGGAAAGGCAGGTTTGGGGTTTTTTTCATGGGGGAAAGAAACAGAGATGAAGAGGCATGCTCACATAGAGCATATTATGTTGCCATGTTCCTCACATGACACACAAACTGGAAATTGAACATCATCAAATGGTGTCCAATTGCTTGGTGGATGGTATTTATTCTGAATCTTCAGAATTTCCTAGGATACTTTCACTTAAAGTCATGCATTAAAGACAGGGATCTGGGGCTGGAGAGGTGGCTCAGCAGTTGAAAGCACTGGCTGCTTCTGTAGAGAACCAGGGTTTAGTTTTCAGCACCCACATGGCACCTAACCACCATCTGTAATTCCAGTTTCAAGGCCCTCTTCCGGCCTCTTGCACGACATGGGTGCCTTAACACACATGCAGGCAAAACACTCATACATATAAAATAAAAATAAATTAAAAAATTAAAAAAATAAAGATAAGGATCTGATCTGAGAGATGGGTCAAAGGGCAAGTGGGTGGTGGTGTGACCATTTTAGAGAGTACTTCCACAACCTTAGAGGGTACAGGTCAGGCTGCCCACGTGACCGCCTATGCAGTGAAGAGACAAGGTGACAAAGTTGTACGAGGCATCTTCAGACCTAACAGAGCATGCTTTTTTTTGGTATTTTTGAGATAGCGTCTTCCCATAGCCCCAGCTGGCCTGGAACTCGCTATGTAGAGCAGGCTAGCCTCAAACTCACAGAGATTCACCTGCCTCTGCCTCCCACATGTTGGGATTAAAGGTGTGTGCACTATGGCTGACCTCAGAGCAGGCTTTTTTTTTTTTATGAGCCAAACTTTTTATTTGTTCATTTCTTGCATTTGAAGTATTCCTCGATGACATCCTTGGCCTGAGATTCTTTGCCATAGTCCTTAACCACTACACAACTGCAGCCAACTACTTTCCGGGGTTTCCCTTCTCGATCAATTTTGCAGAGGCCTACCCATTCCCCTAGCTTCTTGTTGACATCAACCTTAATCAGGTTGATCTGGTGCTCAGCACAAAGGGCTTCCACCAACTTGGCATACATGGGCTCATCACAGTTGGAGGCAAGCACACAGAGATGGGCTTGGCGCTTGTCTAGGGCTTTGGCAGCTTCGCGGATTCCACGTCCAAGGCTATCGTGGATGAGGGCGGTCTTCAGCACCTCTTGTAAAGCTGTGTTAACGTCCATTACACCTCCAGCAGCAATGCCTTCCTCGGCCATGGTGATGGATTACGGGTGGAGCCGAATCTTGAACGCACCCAAGCGACCGCCTCTGAGCGACTCGGCAGTGGCAGGAGAAAAGCTCAGAGCAGGCTTTTAAACAGTGAGCTTTGAAAATTTTAAACCAGTAGGAGTGCACACTATAAAGAGTGATAAGCCACATAGTATAGTAATTGTATAAACCAGTAACATGGTCATTTATTACCATTATGAAGTATTGTATTCTGTCCAGAAATGGACTATGTACTACATTTTAAATTATGACTCTGTGTGTGTGTGTGTGTGTGTGTGTGTGTGTGTGTGTGTATGCCCTCGAGGTCAGAGGCATTAGGTCCCCTGGAGCAACTGTATAATTTGATTTTTTTGACCGTACAGTTAAGAGAGTGCCCGTAGTCTCACAACTTTTAAAAAATATTTTATTTATTATTTTTTATGTATGAGTGTATTGCTTGCATGTGTGTAAGTGCACCAATGTCATACAATGCCCATGGAGGTTAGAAGAAGACATCAGATGCCCCTGGAACTGGAGTTAGGACGGTTGTTAGCCACATGTGGGTGCTGGGAATCGAACCTGGTCCTCTGCAAAAGCAGCCAGTGCTCTTAACCACTGAGTCATCTCTCCAGCCCTGGGTTATTTTTGTTTTTGTTTTTTTTTGAAAAAAAAACCATGGTCTCCCTGTAGCCCCAGCTGGCCTGAAACTCACTATGTAGAACAGGCTGGCCTCTATCTCACAGCAGTTGGCCTGCCTCTGCCTCCCAAGTGCTTAAGGCATGTGCCACCATGCCTGGCCCAACTCTGGACTTTTGAACAGTATAAGACCCATAAGACTATGGGAACTTTTGTTAATTCAAATTTTTTTGCATGTGTCTATACATGTAATGTGCATATGTATATATACATGCATGTGCACATGTATGTATGTATATGCATGCGCACAAGTGTGTGTACATGCAAAATGCATTTAGTCCAACTTCAAAGAATAAAAATAAGCAAATAAATAAACTCTCCACAGTCTTGGGACTGGAGAGATGGTTCAGCGGATAAAGTGCTTGCCACACAAGCATGAGGACCAGAGTTCAGATCTCCCTCAATGACATCACCTTGTCTAGACTGGACTGTGGTATCCAGAGTCATTCTCTAGAATGTCTCCAGTTGGAGTGAACAAGAGAGATTTGTCCTGACAGCTACAGATTGTGTTTCTACACACACACACACACACACACACACAAGGCTGGTGTGACCCCAGCCCTTGTGTCCTGTACCCGCCCCTGTAGAGCAGATGATGCTACTGAGATTTCTGTCTCAGAAAGACAAGGGCCCAGATAGTGATCTCCAAAGAGAAAGTGGCCTAAGGAGCGGCCTCATCTTTCAGTAGCTGACAGTTGTTCCAGCTGGCTGCCATTTTCCACAAGAGATGATGCCTCCGTCTGCTCCTTATTCCCTAAGGCTTTGTTACTGCTTTAAAGCACCAGGATTGAGCTAAGGGTGTATCAAGGCCCTGCCACGACCTTGCCCCACTCAGCCTAGTTAATCCATTTGCTAAATTGCTAAGCAAGCAGATCTGGGGACTTCCTCCCTAAAAGGTATGTTAGTGGAAGGTCTAGAGGCACTGTAAAGACTACACATGTTTTTGTGGGGCTACCTGGTCACTTTTGCAACTCTAGGAATTTAGACATGAGCTGAAAGAGGTTTACCATCTGCATCACCTACCCCTGGCCCAGGAGGCCCATACTGAGGCAGTGACTGGGGTAGAAAGCTGTTGGCTGCAGGAGTCCTGTTTCCACACACCTACCTGCTGCCTTGGTTCTCCATTGCACGGTCCCTTCTCTGCCTCTCCACAGCCTTGGCTCCCCCAGCTCTGACCAGCGAGCGTCTGGCCTGACCCAGCAGTCCGCGAAGGCAGTGCAAAGCTATGTGGTGTGCTCACATTGCAGAGTCAGGGAAAATGACCTGAGGATGGAGAGTCCAGAATCCGGGAAGATTTCTGCTGTAGTCCTTTACAAGAAATGACCTGGAGGAACTTTCCCCCGGCACCGGACCAGACTCTCCCTGCCCCTGACCCCAGTGAGGTGGTTCAGCGTAAATACCAGCCCCTCTCCTGACAGCCAGGGACCAGCATCTCTGCTCCACCAGACCTCAGGTGAGGGAGGACGCCAGGGAGTAACTTCCAGCACTTGTGTGTGCTCTCGTTCCCAGGAAGTGCGTGCAGCTTCCTTTAGAACTGAATCTCTTTTGTAGTTAGCTGATGTGAGCTTTGTCTGGGCTGAGGGGACACACTGGAAATGTTCTTGGGGAACTGCAGGCTCTTGTAGGGAGTGGCAATCTGGCCTCAACTTCCCTCTTTGGCCATCGATGATACATTGTTGCTGTCCTCCTAGTGGGCTTGGTTGAGGGCAGGTGGGGTCAGAATGGAGGGTTGTGGCTGGGGAAGGTCCTGCTGCAAGGTCCCCTAGGAGCAGCAGTGGGAACGAATGACCGGGTTTTCTCTGAGTTAGAGATGCCCAGGGAGGAGGTGCAGGCCTGTCAGCGTCTCCTTGAGCCTCCCCTTTCATTTCAGCAGGATGAAGCTTCTCAGCAGCCTTCTTTGCTGCGCCTTGGTCCTGGGATCCAGCAGTGGAAGCTGGTTTTCATTTGTTGGCGAGGCTGCTCAAGGTAAGGTTGGTGGATGCTGGGTCTCTAGGATTTTGCCCAAGATTTCAGAACAGTTGGATTCACTGTCTCAAGTTGTGCTCTCCTGGATAGTAAAATGTTTGAGGTGCTCTTGGAAGACTTCCTTAAGTGCATGGCATTCAGCAGGTGGCAAAGCAGAGGTTATAACTCACCTGTGCATGAGGCCAGTCTTTCCTAAATTCAGTTGTGAACAATCTCATGGAGAGCTTCAATACCACTGAGGTCTGGACCAATCTTCTCCAGGTGCCTGGGTCTTAGGACTGGTCTTGGATGTGGCCTGGCGTGGGGACTTTCAGTCTCTCCCCTGGTGATCAGAGCCTGCATCCAGAAATGAGAACATTGCCCTAGCGCTTCCTCAAGGAACCCCAATATTGGCAAAATCTAATCAAGAGGCAGAAACAGCAGCATCACAGTGATGTGCATTCGTCCTGTCGGGATGGATTTCCTAGGAGTCAGAGCAGAAGTGCTCTGCGTGCAGCCTTTCTCTGCCTTCCACGAATGAATGGTCACCTCGGAAAGGAACTTCCCAGCCAGGCAGCATCCGGGGATATGGGCTCTTGTCGAGATGCAGTGTGTTCCAGGGAACATTTTCAATGTCTGGAGATTTGCCTGCCTGGACAGCTAGGGAGGTGTGCTGCCAGGATCTGGTAATAGAAGTTGGGGATGCACGTAAGCAGGCTTCAGTTCTCAGGACAACCCGATTAGCAAGGGACCCTTGGGCAAACCCTTCCATAATGCTGAGGTTGAGGAATTCTGCTCTGTAATGGTACCACACTGCCTCAACTGCACATACTCCATCCAGGTAAGGTTTGGCTCCCAGCAGACTGTGGTCAGAGAAGACAATACAGGCCATATGAGCCTCTAATGACTTGGAGAAGCCAACCTGGATTAGGGAATGGTCTTCCCAACTCATGGCATCACAGGTGCTCTTAAATGTTTTCATCCTTGAGTCCTCCCAAAGGCATAGGCAGTCTTTATGTTCACCGGCCTGTTGCCTTTCCAGTCCAGGGGCTGGGAACACAAATACTTCCATGCTCGGGTGAACTATGATGCTGCCCAAAGGGGACCGGGGGGAGCTTGGGCTGCTGAAAAGATCAGGTAACAGATTTCTGGGGACACCAGGCCTGGGTGAGTAGGGTTGACTACCTGATGATTCCTGGAGCGGACATGTCAATCTGTGGCCCCTCCTCCTCCTGCCCATCCTGCCCTCCTCTCCATCCATGTCCAGTGTAGACCCTAGGCTGTGGGTAGAGCCAGAACACAGCTCATGATGGATGGGCCTGCTCCCAGATGCAGACAGGAAGTGATTTCCAGCCCTCCTCTCTGGGTACTGTTCCTCCAGTGTGGGGTGATCAGCCTGGGCTGAGCAGGGCTGAGCCTGGCAGGGTCAGTGCCTCAGCCCCCCACCCCTACTTCCTGGGCCTTCCTGGGCTCCTCACAGGGCCATCCCATACAAAGGGGAGAATTGGGAGGTATCTGTGGTCACACAGCCTGGTGATGGATCTCCTTCCTATCTGCCTCCATCAGTAATGCCAGAGAGAACATGCAGATGTTATTGGGCCATGGACACGAGGACTCCATGGCTGACCAGGAAGCCAACAGATGGGGTCGCAGCAGCAAAGACCCCAACTGCTTCAGACCTGCTGAAGTACTAAGCTTCCTCCTCACTGCCTCAGGTGGCTGGGCTGTGGGTCCCTGAGGACAGGGGCTAGAGTGCCTTAGTCCCATGTGCACAAAAGTTGCTAAAATATACAATAAACATGTAATAGCAAAATCTTGCAATTGTGTCATTTTTCATAGCAGTGACACCTTTCTGGTACAAACAGGTATATAATAAACTGCAGCCTGGAGCCCAGCATGGGTCTCGTGTTGGATCTAGGGGATACTGTTTCATTGGTCTACAGACAGGTGCAATTACTCCCCAGGAGTCAAACCTGCAGGCTCCTGGGGTTACATTGTCCCTGTTTCCAGGCCTTTCCAAGTCCTGATCTTCACATGCCACATCAACTGATTTCTGATTCCCACTGACTCTGGTAACAGAACATAAAACCACAGGAAGGTGGGACTATGGAATACCGCTTAGGTCTCTGTCCACCTGGATCTGCTCGTCCCACCGAACCTGCAAATTCATTAGATCAAAGGGTTGCATCAACATCTCCCACTCTACCCTCTTCCTTTTTGTTTATTAATTCCTTTGGTGTGTGTGTGTGTGTGTGTGTGTGTGTGTGTGTGTGTGTACATGCTAGTCATTGAATCCAGGGCTCATTCGAGGCAAACACCACACACCTAGGCGATATCTCCAGCCTTTGTTTTGGAGACGAGGTCTCTCAATGCTGTGCAGTCTGACTGTGAGAGTCTATATAACCCAAGGTGACCTCAAACTTGTCACCCTCCTGCCTCTGCTTCCCAGACCCTGGGACGGCAGGCGTGTGCCAGCACACCTGCCTCCACTTCCATTTTTGCCTTAGTTGAAACCTAAATGCTTGGCTGTCTAGCTATTTCCCCTGTATTGACACATTCCCTCCTGGAGGGAGGAGGGACTAAATGAAACGCACAAGGCTTAGGAAGCTCTTGAAACTTAGAAGATTCCCAAGTCCTCTGAAGACTCTAAAGCAGTCACAATGGCTAGGGAGAGGAGACCATCCAGTCAGCTGAGCCGCATGCAAGCTGGGCGGGAAGCTCCAGGGTTGTGGTCTTCTTGAGGCTTCCTCTATGCTGGAATTTTGGGTGATGCAGCTGTCTCAGGTCACCCACAGCCCTGTTATGAATTTCTCCCCAAGACCCCAGCATGTAACCCCCGATAAACTCACTGGTTCACTAAGTTAAGCTTGGGCGAATTGTTTCTTTGGTCTATCCTTAGTGTCCTATATTCTCCAGGAGAAGTGACACAACACAGTGATAAACTGTCACCCCATTTGTGGATGTTTTCTCATAATTTCTGCACCTAACTTATAGCAAAGTTATGGAAGTTTGTGTAGAATAATATATATTATTAATATATGTTTAGTAATTATTTATGTTAATAACTATAATAATAATATTGTCAGGAAAAGGTTCTCTATTATCTATCAAGGTCCTGGAAGGAGACAGAAACCAGATAGTAATTTGAAAAGCAAAATTGCAGCACCAAGAGTTATGAGCCAGTGCTGGGACTTACTACTAAGGGCCATCAACACAGGTTATAAACATGAGAAAGCTCCCCACCAAGGCTGATGCTGGGTCTAGTTCACAAGCTATTAAATGGCAGATAGTTTGTTGGATGCTGTTGTTAAAATTCTTTCTGAGGGGCTGAAGATACAGCTCAGCGGATAAGAGCACTGGCTGCTCTTGCAGAGGACCCAGGTGTGGTTTCTAGCACCCACATGGTGGCTAACAATCATCCATAACTCCAGAGTGCTGGGATTAAAGGCCTATACCATCATGCTTGACTCTTCCACCTTTCTTATTCTTATTTCTTCTCTTAAATTATTTGAAGGAATTTTTATTGATTTCACCTGATATCCCAGTCACTGACACATCGTGGTGAGACAAATATGGTTCCTGATTCATGGACATTTTATCTTCCTGAGTAGAGAGATAGAGAGATAAGATAAATAACCTAGATCCTGTTGTACCCTATAGAAACCGCCAAGAAATAACAGGGAAGATGACCCCACGTCACGTTATCTGATGGTCAAGCATGACCTGTCTGATGTGATGCCATCTACTGGACTCTGAGAAAAGAAGCCGCATGAACATCTGGATGAACAGTGCTCTGGAGGAGAGAGCAGTGACTGCAAAGGCCCTGGGTCCAGATGAGGGGAGGATAGAGGCAGACGCTGGGAAGGAGGAGAGCAGAGCAGGCATCAGCAGCTGAAGAAGAGGCAGGCCTGGGCTGTTCACTGCGGAATCTGCAGTATCTGTCAGCCCCTGGCTCTAGTTCCACCCACTAACATCTGTGGAAGGGATGAATGGAACTGAAGGAAAGGTGACTGGCCAGTGTCAGCTTGCCGTCTGTTAGACAGAAAGCCCGAACCCCACATCCCAGTGTTCACTCCAGGAACAGACAGACATGGAGCCCTTGCACCTGCTTTTGGATGTATTTTTCCTTTCCTTATATTCCTAAGGGGTAAGTTCCATTTCTATTTTCCAGAGAGAAGAAAGTAAGGTGGAGAGTTAAAGTAATCTCCCAAGTTTCTAGACCTGGCAGCTGCATGACTGAGGACGGACTGACAGACAATCGGATGCCCAAGGCATTGCAGCTTTGTATTCCTTAGGGTTAGAGATTCAGTAATAAAATACATTAAGTACAAAAGGCCTAAAGACAGACAGACCAGGAAAAGTGGGGCGTTCTCAACAAGGGGATAGAAAGGGTCTCCCAAATGTCCTCGGCTTCCAGTCATAGGATAATCTGAGGATTGTCTTTTTAAAAAATATTTTGTCATTCTTTTGCCGGGTGTGGTGGCACACGCCTTTAATCCCAGCACTTGGGAGGCAGAGGCAGGTGGATCTTTGTGAGTTCGAGGCCACCCTGGTCTACATAGTGAGTTCGAGGCTATCCTGGTCTACAGTGAGTTCCAGGACAGCTGGGGCTACAAGGAGACCCTGTCTCAAAAAGACCGAA